CTTCTTCAATATACGTGACCGCGGATTCAAATTGCGCTCGGAGACCGTTGACCTTATCGACGTTAATTACGGCAAAAACTGCTAAATGTTTTGCGCGATCGAAGGACCATATGTTTAGGCCTTATCGGGACTTTAGAAATAAAATGAGTGGACTGTATTAACAATAGGTTTAATGCCGTAAAACCTCTAAACAAACATATTATAAATTGAAGAATAAAGTGCCCGTCTGCTACCGTGTCTCGCAGCTGAGTGAAGTACAGAAGCGCTCGCGCTGCCGTGAGGTCAGCGACTGGTCCGTGCTCCCACGCGTCTATCATTTTGGCCGAGGCGAGATGACGTGCGCCGACACTTATGTTGACAATTTTTGGAATTCTTTTGCCAAACCCCTATGAGACTTTCTAGTACTTTTACATCTATAACTTGTAACAAGTTTTTCATTATGTTATACTCATAATGTTGAGCCCTTTTGCAATAAAAATTATACCACTAATTATCTTTATTTGATTTCTTCTAAATCTCAGAACCACACAATATTTTACTTTATAGTGACAGCGCTTTAATGTTAATTAAAAACCTGTCTAACCTCAAAGTGATATCTCTAAGGTCTGAATAGTTAACGGTGTCTATCCTCTGTGTGAAAGCTCTAACAGTTTAAAGCCTGCAGTGATTTTGTCCGAGTCATAGTACATCTTCGTTCGACTGATGGACTATGACTATGATGGAGTTCGTAAGTGCGCGTTATTATTAAATAAGTATGTGCTTAGCCGTGACCTCGTTATAACAATACCGGAAGTAACTATGTCATACTTTAGTTATATTTGTGTTAGTGATTTTTTGTTGAAATGTTTTAGCTTTATTTAGAATAGGTACTAAAATGGAGAACAGTCCCTTCAACCGGAGTGCCAGGACCACTCGCACCCCACCTCCATCAACCCCGCCCATGCAGACACCCACTTCAAGCGAACCAATTAAAACACTTCCAACTCCTGAGTTGCAGCATTGGATGACAAGCATTGACCTGTGCCTTAACAAGGTGTGCTCCATCGCTACACAGGGAAAACTTAACTCTGATCAAAAAATGCGCATTAGCTCGCTTTGTCGAAAAGTAAGCCACGGTACATCACAATTGGTAGTCCAGTACATGTCCCTCAAAATGGATGCCACTAAAGCTCAGACCGCCATCGTATCTCTGCAGAAACAACTTGAACTGTCCCAAAAGCTGCAGCAACTCAAGAATGGAACCACTTTTGCGGACATGGTCAAAAAAAGGTGGCCAAACCCTCATTCGCCCAAACAACCTTAGTACCCTAGCAATTTATCCGAGGGACAAGTCCAAATCCAGTGATGACACGAAGTGCCTCTTACAAAAAATAATATCCCCAGAAGAACTCAAACTACATGTCCGAGGCATGAGGAAGGTCAAAAATGGGGGAGTTATAATTAGCGCTGAGACAAAAGGAGATATCGACAAATTAAAGAACTCCGAGAAGCTTGTATCTTCTGGCCTTACCATGGAAGAACCGACTAAACGACGTCCAAGGATTGCAATTGTTGGTGTCCCTGTAGCCCTCACGGATAAAGAAGTGTTCGAGTGCATTTTCGAACAAAATATTGCCGATAAATTTCCCAATGCCACGCGTGAGTCCTTCCTGGCAACAGTCAAACTGAGCCATAAATCAGGTAAGAAAAACCTTCCTACCTGTAATTACATTGTCGAAGTGTCACCTAGCATCAGGAAGGCCCTTATCAATCAAGGACGAATTTATATTAATTGGACCTCATGCCCAGTCAGAGACTTTACAATAGCAACAAGATGCTTCAACTGCCAGCAGTTTGGTCATTCAGCCAAATTTTGTCGGGAAAGTAGCCCTACATGTATCTACTGTGGAGAACTCGGGAATTCCTTTAAGGAATGTAATAACAAAGCGCATGCCCCCGTTTGCGCGACGTGTAAACGTTTTAAAAGAAAATGCGACCACAAAACTGGTGAGGAAAGCTGTCCAGCACGTAAATTCGCAGAGTACAAATATATATATATGTTCAAATGTCTTTAAGATAAATAATGTAATCCTTACTTGGTGTCAATAAAAATTATTATTATGGGGTATCTATATAGTTTTCTCATCTGGTTGGGTTCTATAAATATATAATTATAAATGAAAATGAAAAAATAAATATACATAAATATCAATAACATAAAATAAATATAAAAGTACATAAATAAATAAAAGCCCAACCAGATGGAGGCCCTCGGCAGGGGAGACCAAACGGCCGAGGGTTAGGGGGAAAGGGAAAGAAACCGGCGGACGATGCGGGCGGTATCGAGGAGCACCGCCTTCTGCATTTGAACCTGGAGCGGTCCGCCACGTAGTCCCAGCCGCCTCAGATGACCCGAGAGGCTGACTGGGATTAGCCCGTTTGCAGAGACGACTACAGGAATAATTTCGGTCGGCAGACCACCCCACATGTCGGTCACCTCGTGAGCCAGGTCCAGATATTTTGTTTGCTTGTCTGTTTCGGCTTTCACGAGGTTCTCGTCATACGGAATGGTAATGTCGACCAAAAATATCCTTGACTGTGCCCGGTCCATCAGCACAATATCAGGCTTATTCGCAAGAATAGTCCTGTCTGTGATGATGGCCCGGTCCCAATAGAGCCTGGCGCGATCATTTTCGAGCACGGCTTCCGGCAAGTACTTGTAGTACGGCAATTTCCGGTCCACGAGACCGTATTTCAGAGCGAGCTCCTGGTGTAGAATTCTGGCTACTAGGTTGTGCCTGTGCAAGTACTCAGAGTTAGAAAGCGCCGAACAACCAGAGATAACATGCCTAAGCGACACACCGGGATGGCGACAAGCTCGACAGATGTCGACGGTGCCATCCTTTAGGATGTATCTCCGATAGTTGTTGGTCTTAATAACCTGATCCTGTATTGCACAGACAAAACCCTCGGTTTCCCCGAAGAGATCACCAAAGCGTAGCCAGTGGAGGGAGGCTACTGTGTCTACGAAAGGCTCATGTAGAGCCTTGTAGAACCTCCCGTGGAGCTCCTTCTCCTTCCATACGGTCTCTCGGTCGGAAATGCTCTGCACTGCCGGGTCTTGCCATTGCTCGTTGGCTAAGGATAGAGGGGTAAGTCCTTTATCACAAGAAATGACGTCCATATAGAATGGACCATCCGATCTCGCCAGGAAGTAATCACGGAGGCTGCACACTTCGCGATTATGCATGGTGAGCGCGCTCAAGAAGCCACGACCACCATGCTTCCGCGACAAGTACAACCTCATTACCGACGATCTCGGATGATGCATCCTATGGGACGTCATGGTAGTGCGGACTTTTCTATCCAGGGCGTTAAGTTCAGTCTGAGTCCACCTGAGTATGCCAAAGGTATACATGAGGACAGGCATGACCCAGCCGTTATAAGCGTGTGCCTTATTCACAACGGACAAAAGGCTGTTAAGCACTTTGGTCAAGCGTGCATAAAACAAGTCGCAAACTGACTGTTTCATACCAGTCTCATCGATACCGATGTTTTATGACATACCCAGGTATCGGTATGTTTCAGCCTCGGAAAGGGTCCTTAAGTTGACGGGCATAGATAAGTCTACGCCCTCAGAGTTAGCAACCCTTCCCCTTTCAACATGGAGGACCGCACACTTATCCGTCCCAAGCTCCATTCCAATGGAATTGCTAAATTCACAAGTGATGTTTAGCAATTCCATAAGATGGGAGCGACTGGAGGCGAATAACTTGAGGTCATCCATATAGAAAAGGTGGGTCACTTTTGTCCCTCCTCTCCGTAGCTGAAATCCCCTCCCGGAGCCCTCCAGTAAGGTACTGAGAGGGTTCAGAGAGAGGCAGAACCAGATTGGACTCAGACAATCGCCCTGGAAGATACCCCTTCTTATCCTTATGTGGTTCTCCGCAGCCATCATCCGCTCGCCCAGATGACAAAGGATCGTACTCCACTGCCCCATACACTGCTCAAGGAAGTCTCTAACTGTACAGTCTATCTTGTACAGCTCGAGGACTCTCTTTAGCCATGTATGGGGCACCGAGTCGAATGCCTTTCTGTAGTCTATCCAGGCGGCGGAGAAGTTCCGACGGTTGCGTTTCACCACTTTGCCAATGACCGCGTCAATGAGGAGTGGTTCCTTGGTTCCACGACCACCGCCCCGACATCCATTTTGAGCGCGCGACATCACCTGATTTGAGTCCAGGTGACAAGTGATTCTCGCGCTCAAAATGGATGTTAGTGTCTTGTATATGGTCGGTAGACACGTGATGGGGCGGTATTTGCTCGGGTCTGTGGTACCCTGGTCTTTAGGAACCAAATGAGTGATCCCAGTAGTGAAGAGGCTTGGGAGCGACTTCTGGTTGAGAGCCTCTTGAAACTGTCGGGCAAGCACAGAGTGACACACCATGAACCCCTTCAGCCAGTAGTGATGCAGCCCGTCAAGCCCCGGACTTTTCCAGTTCGGGGCCCTACGGACCGCCTCAGCTACGTCATCCGGCGTTATGATGACGGGGTCCATGGGCGTAATACCCGCACACTGACTCGCCACAACTTCCGTCCAAGGGCCCTCGCTGTGGTTTACGGGCTCTGACCACAGGCCGCGCCAGAATGCTACAGTGTCGGCCTGATTCGGTGCTGGACCCGTTCCACTTACCATTGGTCGCTCCAATGATTCATAGAGCCTCTTCTGATCACTCTGGAAGAGACGATTCTGGTTGAACCGTGTCGACCTCTCGGTATATCGCCGAATCCGTTTTCCCCAAGCAGCGATTCTCTGCTTCAGATCATCTATGCGCTCCGTCAGTTTTTGCGTTATATCCGGCTGGGACAAACTGACATTTGTCCCAGCAAACGCCATCCTGACGGTGCGCACAATTCTTGGCCTGTTGTTGCCTGATCTGAAGCATATCAGTCTGCCGATGAGAGCTCTAGCCTTTGCGATACGTTCCTCAATTCTTCTTCTCCATGCTGGGATAGCGCTACTATGGCCAGTAGCGCGTCCAGCCGTGGAAACCTTTGGCGCCTATGATACGGCAGACTGCCAGCGCGGCGCCAAAAAGAATTGAGTCCGTCTCGCAAAGGTCCCGGCTGGCTTCCAAATAGGTCACCAGCATTGGGTTCAGAGCCCTCACGACAGCCCGATTCCGCTTGCTTAGGGCTATGCGGGGAAGTCGCGGTCGATTTTCGAGAGGCGTACTGCGCGTTTTCACAATCGACTCTTCCAATGTACTCCTCATATGCTCTAATTCCAGTTCCTGGGCGACTGTTCCATCATCGTTTGAATCAACCACAACTGGGGTATTCACGGCGGCATCCACGTTTGCGGGTTGCTCTACCATTTGTGGCGCCGCATCCTCAGCCGTAGCATTCTCATCCGACGAGGGAACAGCCTCACGTCGTAGCCGTTCGAGTTCGGCGACATCAAATATATTTGAGCGCAAGATATACCGAACTCGGTCTGCCAGGTTTTGCTCTGTGACGGTTAAAGATGGCTCCAGCTCAGCAAAAAGACGATGCATCCTAGCCCGATACGCCAAACATCCAGTTTCTCCCCCTTTCGCCCCAAAATACGCCCGCAATGCGTTGCTGTTCATCTGGGTTGTCCAACGCATGCGGCGTACTCCACCAGAGGCGGGTGCCGATTGCTGGGCCCGCGAAGACCCTGCCGACACCAAGCCAGCTGGTGGGGATGATGGATGCGAGGGGCTGCTGGGTGGTCGTGCAGCACCTCGCGCTCGGCTGGTGGTTCGCATGCTGCCGCGTCCAGCGCCAGCTCCAGACGCGCCCTGGCGACCTCCAGGCAGCGGCCCTTTGCGCGTTCTTCCGTATTCCATCATCCATAGTGGTGGGCGTCATTTAGCGGGAGACGCCCAGACCCGGCGCCGTTTCATGGTGAGGCCATGTGCACAAGCGGGCCTTTGCACCTTCAATTTTTGCCGAGGCACGGCACTAACACCTCTTGGCAAGGTGCTGACTGACTGCGCTGACGTAGCGGTTTTGTCACATAACCGTTACGGCAGCGGGCGATGGGGTCGTCACTTCCCTACGCCTTTATTATTATTATTATTATTATTATTATTATATATACTCCATAAACTATGAGAGCGCCTAAGAGCGCCGCGTATTATATTATTTACTTAGCTCTTACACTAGTTTTAGTTTATCTTTAAGCTTAAGTATGGCGAATCAATTACTCAATGACCTACACAACTTTTCTGTGTCTGACGCCAAAACATGTAATGTTGATGACTGTAAACACTTCCTTCCACGTCCTGAAAATAAGTTAATCTTACTTACACAAAATATTAGAAGTATAAATCGGAATATAACAGGGTTTGAAGTTTTGTTGCATAGACTGGATATAAAATGTGATATTATTATCCTTACAGAATGTTGGCTGTCAAACCTCCCATCCCACCTACCGATTCTAAATGGCTATTCTTTACACAAAACCGAGAAAAACATTAATCAAAATGACGGTTTAGTAATCTATGGTAAAAATAATTTAAAAGTAACTGTCACAGAACCTACATTCCAGGATAGTACTTGCTTAATAATTCGAATTAATTCCGAGACGATTGTTATCGCAGTTTACAGACCTCCTTTACAAAATATTGATAGATTTCTAGAGTCACTTGATATTACCTTAAGCAAATTTAGCACATATAAAAATATAATCCTAACCGGTGACATAAATATTAACATTACCCCTGGGAAAACAGATAACCATGCACATAACTACCTAAATATTTGCTCTTTTCATGGGCTTTTACCAACACATTACCACCCTACACATCAAAGCGGCTCTTGTTTAGACAATTTTGTGATTAAATCAAATAACCCTTCTTTAACATTAGTTACTAATTCCTCGCTTACTGATCATCAAGCAATTTTACTATCATTAAACCAACGAAGCAACTAATAAAGTAAATAATTATTTTATTAACGTTGGCAAAAAAATAGCAGAGACAACTTAAAAATTAAGCAACACTCGTAATCCAATTGTTATGCCCACACCCTTTTCTAAGTTAAATTCTTTTGTATTGTTAAATACCGATATTGATGAGATTTTAAGTATAATATCTGGCTTAAAAGAAGATTGTGCAGTTGGATGGGACAATATACCTAATCGCATACTCAAAAGATTTAAACATTTACTGGCCGCCCCGTTAACACATATCTTTCAATTATGCCTAGCAAATGGTATTTTCCCGAAAGTGCTTAAAAAAGCAGTGGTTTCTCCTATTTACAAAGCTGGTGATAAAAACTTAGTTAGTAACTATAGGCCGATTTCAGTCTTATCTGGCTTATCTAAAATTTTAGAAAAGATCATAAATACCAGATTAATAAAATACCTGGAAACTAACAACTTGCTGTCAGACAGACAATTTGGTTTTAGGCCTAAGAGATCATGCAATGATGCCTTGCACCAATTGACAGATTACGTCACAAGTAATCTAGACAATGGTATGCACTCAATTGGGATCTTTTTAGACCTTGCCAAAGCATTTGATACTATTTCTTGCCCTATACTATTGCAAAAGCTTCAAACATTTGGCATAAGGGGAACTCAACTACAAATTTTTTCTGATTACCTCAGTGATCGCTTTCAATGTGTAAAAATCGGTGAGTATACAAGTACTGAATTACAAAACAGCTCTTATGGAATCCCACAGGGCAGTATCCTGGGGCCTACATTGTTCCTAATTTATATAAATGACTTATGCAATCTTCAACTTCAAAATGGTGTCATTATGTCGTATGCAGATGACACAGCCCTGTTATTCTCAGCTAAATCACGAGATGAGGTTTATAAATACGCTCAGCAAGGCTTTAACATAGTATCTAATTGGCTTCTTAATAATCTCCTACGTTTAAACGCTGATAAAACACAATATATGTTATTTTTAATGAGAAATAATAACATACCTACTCACCTAAATATTTACGCTCATAATTGTAACTCGTATAATGACACTGCATGTGCATGTTCCGCATTAACAAAAACAGACAATATAAAATATCTAGGTATCACGCTTGACACAAATTTAAATTTCCGCAAGCACATCGATTTACTTTGTGCTAGAGTTCGTAAATTAATATATATTTTTAAATATCTTCGTAACATCACTGACTTCAAATTAATAAGACAGGTCTATTTAGCTTTGTGTCAATCCATACTCACTTATGGCATTACTTCCTGGGGTGGAGCTTCTAAAACAATATTGCTCCCATTAGAACGTGCTCAGAGAGCAGTTTTAAAGGTAGCCACATTCCGTCCATTCATGTTTCCTACACATCAACTTTACTTGTCATGTAGTGTACTAACTGTCCGTCAGTTGTTTATCCTGAACATCGTATTAAAACAGCATACCGAACTTCCATTTAACTTAAAATCCATAGACAGGAGAAGAATGGACTTAGTTTGTGTAAAGCCTCAAACCAAACACGCATTTGTGAACAAATTTTACATATTTTTAGGACCCTTTCTATATAACAAGCTCAACAAGTCACTAAAAGTATATAGTCTAAGTTATAAGAACTGTAATAAAAGTGTAAGGGAATTTCTAAATAAATTAAATTACGAAGACACAGAGAAGTTGTTAGAAATTCTAAAATAGTTTGTATTAATTGTGGGAAACAATTAATTGTAATTTTGTTATTTAGTTATTTTATTTATTATATAATATAGTTTAATTATTTAAATATCTAGTTCCTACATTATTAAACCCATTGTGTAAGTTATGTCTGAAACACAGGTACTCAACCTAGTTCAGGCAGGTAGCTAATATTATAAATTTGACTTTTTTATTTTTCTTTTGTATATTTTACATTATTAAGCTACACATAGTTTTAATTTTATCATAGTATGTTATTTTTGTTAGACTTATTGTTACTTTATTTAATTGTAATCATATTTATTCCTGTATGTAAACATGTGTAATTGGAAATGAAATAAATATTTATTATTATTATTATGTGGGGTATCTATATAGTTTTCTCATCTGGTTGGGATGTATAAATATATAATTATAAACGAAAATGAAAAGATAAATATACATAAATATCAATAAAATAAAATAAATAAAAAAATACATAAATAAATAAAAGCCCAACCAGATGGAAGCCCTCGGCAGGGGAGACCAAACGGCCGAGGGTTAGGGGGAAAGGGAAAGAAACCGGCGGACGATGCGGGCGGTATCGAGGAGCACCGCCTTCTGCATTTGAACCTGGAGCGGTCCGCCACGTAGACCAGCCGCCTCAGATGACCCGAGAGGCTGACTGGGAAGCCCGTTTGCAGAGACGACTACAGGAATAATTTCGGTCGGCAGACCACCCCACATGTCGGTCACCTCGTGAGCCAGGTCCAGATATTTTGTTTGCTTATCTGTTTCGGCTTTCACGAGGTTCTCGTCAACGGAATGGTAATGTCGACCAAAAATATCCTTGACTGTGCACGGTCCATCAGCCAATATCAGGCTTATTCGCAAGAATAGTCCTGTCTGTGATATGGCCCGGTCCCAAAGAGCTGGCGCGATCATTTTCGAGCACGGCTTCCGGCAAGTACTGTAATACGGCACTCCCCACGAAACCGTTTCAGAGCGAGCTCCTGGTGTAGAATTCTGGCTACTAGGTTGTGCCTGTGCAAGTACTCAGAGTTAGAAAGCGCCGAACAACCGGAGATAACATGCCTAAGTGACTCACCGGGATGGCGACAAGCTCGACAGATGTCGATGGTGCCATCCTTTAGGATGTATCTCCGATAGTTGTTGGTCTTAATAACCTGATCCTGTATTGCACAGACAAAACCCTCGGTTTCCCCGAAGAGGTCACCAAAGCGTAGCCAGTGGAGGGAGGTTACTGTGTCTACGAAAGGCCCATGTAGAGACTTGTAGAACCTCCCGTGGAGCTCCTTCTCCTTCCATACGGTCTCCCGGTCGGAAATTGTCTGCACTGCCGGGTCTTGCCATTGCTCGTTGGCTAAGGATATAGGGGTAAGTCCTTTATCACAAGAAATGACGTCCTTATAGAATGGATCATCCGATCTCGCCAGGAAGTAATTACGGAGGCTGCACACTTCGCGATTATGCATGGTGAGCGCGCTCAAGAGGCCACGCCCACCATGCTTTCGCGGCAAGTACAGCCTTTCAGAACGGAGTTACAAGGCGGAATGGAAGGCAAGCGTCATAGCGGTGAGGCGCAAATTAAAATACACATGAATTAAAATTTCGGCAAGTGTAAAATACTGTTTAAATGTACCAGGATAACTAATTTAGGCTGTGCATTGGTTGAATCATGATGGTGACTTGCGATATTTGATCGCGGTGCGAAATGTATGAGACGCCATTTTGTAACGGTACTTTTGCCAACGCACACAGCGTATATATTTTATTAACTAACATTATATTATATGTTATATTTTATTGTATATATTTTATACATTACTTACATGCAAATAACACTAATAAAACACTTTCACTACTTAAAACTAGGTAACGTTTCGACACTTACCCTTACGGGGTGCAAGACGATACGGAGGTCTCGGTGACGAGAATTAACGAAAAAACTATACGGCCACAGTGCCGGAATTATTATATTATTTTAAACTTTTTTCCAAAATGGGATTAAAATTTGCAAGCGCGTACGAGGACACAAAGCAGAGCTTGTGAACGCGGCTGCAGTGGTAGTGTGCGCCTCCCAGGGCGCTCGGGCGGAGAATGACCGGGAGCGCGACGCCGTGGAATGATACCGGCCGGGTAAAACTCTGACGCGAGAGTTGCAAAGCGCATAGAGTAACGAAGCGTCAGAGTGTTTGTTCGAAATACAATATTTTAAT